GCATGGTTCAAGTCCAAGCTCTGTCACTCATTACCTGTACTGAGGCTCTAACCAAATCTCATATGTCAAAGTTTTTAAATATTCCCTCCCCTCCATTCTTCCTTGTTATAATACTGTCCTCTGGGCCTACTCAATTAGGGCATTCTCTTCTGACCTTGGGGAAGGAAAATCACCTCAATAGGAGTTACTATTCCCATTGTGCTCTTACCCTGCACATCAATTTGTCCAGTTGTTTTATCTACCATTTCTTCTAGCCTCCTATCTTTAAATAGGTGCTATTTATCCTCTGGAGTCATCTTTGCAACACAGTGTGGCTGTATTGTTATAAGCAATCTGACCATCAAACATTAATAACTTTGTTTTTCGGCTCACCCAGATCACAACACTTTTAGAACCATCAGAACAGCAACAAACAGAACACACTGCAAAAATAACTTTGTAAAACTTCTAGCCCTCCTTGCATCAGTTTCTCCTTTGTATTCCAGAGTTAATAACTCTAGAAGACAACACAGCTCTTGTTAACAGAGGGCATGAGATCAGAGAGAGTTTCATACAGAAGTTTGTATTTTTTTTCTTAGTACAAACTTCTTTAATTTTTTATTGATTTTTTTTTAAAAAATGACATCAGAATGCATTACAATTCTTATTACATGTATCGGCACAATTTTCCATATCTCTGGTTATATATAAAGTATGTTAATCTGTGCCTTAAAGGATAGTCAGGATTTACTGCCATTGATAGATCAGAAAGAAGCAAAAATAAGATCAAGGGCAATTATTCAATAAAACAGTCATTCTTAAAATGTGGTCTCTAGACCAGTAGCATCAACATTACCTGAAAACTTAGAAATGAAGAGTCTCAGCCCCTACCCCAGACTTACTTAATGAGAAGCCCTGGGGTGGATTCTAGGAATATGTATTTTAACAAGCCTTCTAACTAATTATGGTAAATACTGAATATTGAGAACCACTGATGTAGAAGTCAAGAATGTGAGATCTGGGATTGAAATCATAGCTGTCATTTGGTACATCTACTTGTCATTTGGTACAACTATCACACTTGCTTGTCATAGCCAGCTCCCTCTTCTTACTTCTTTCATGCATCTTTTCCCTTGCTACCCGTGGTAATGGTAATGGTCTAGTAGACAGCCAATTTTTCTCTTGTTCCTACCAGCCCTCTTTCTTAAAATGATTGTCAATCTACCTTCAGAGAAATAGTTCCTTTGTGATTGGAATTCATTTTTTTGATCAGTCATAGCTGATGTTGGTTTAATTGTTATAGATACATTTATAACCTTTGAATTCTTGTGTTCAGACTCCCATCTTGAACTACAATTTGGCTGTTTTCTTCTGTGATATCTTAATACTCTTTAGTGCCTGTGGAATTATAAAAATGTCAGATTATGGATATATAGACTTGAAGGCATAATACGGGACCTAGCCCCATGAGACAGTCTAATATGTTTCTTTAAGTAAAAAATAATAATAATTCTACAAATAACTTACTACAGTATTTTTCATCCTATAGAACATATTTTAAGAGAATTTAGCCTAATCTAGAAGGCCAAGGAAAGTCTTCCATAAAGAGAATTGTTTAAGTTCAGTTTTGATATATGACTAGAGTGACCATTTGTTTGTATGTGTGTGTTTGTGTGAATGTGTGTGTGTTTCACACATTTAAGATTTAAAATCTCAAATCCTTAAGATTTTAATAAATCTTAAGGACAATTTATTTCCAAAGGTGACTGCAGAAATCATTTCATTACAATCAAAAGGTTTTACAAAACAGAGGAAACACATTACAAAACATCCCAAGAGGTGAGGAAACTGGTGGGGGGGTGAGGGGCACAGAGCACCCAAGAACCAGCCTGACAAAGAGGCTCACCCTGCTGCTATCTAGGGAGGTTACAAAGGCTGGTTCTGAAGGGAGGCACTGCATGGGGGTGGGAGGGGTGGGGGAGGGGTGGGCCCAGTGCACAGCAATCCCAGCCTTGGAACAAGGAAGGATGGGGAATAGTAAGAGGGGCAGAGGCATTTGCCAATGTCCCAGCAGAAATAGTTACATATCAGCCTATCTTATTCTCTTTGCTACAATAATACCAATATAAATGCAGAAGTCTAAGCAGGGCAGCTGGCACACTTTACTGTACAGTACCTCAGTCCAGCTTACCCCGAGGGACCTGCACACAGCTTCTGTGAGTGCTACCAAGTCCCCAGAGAGACAGAGGTTTGGGGAGGCAGAGTTTTTGGCTTCAGAACACCACAGGCTGACAGAGGAGCACATCACTGCCTTGCAGAGCAAGGTGTGCCAGATCTTTGGTGTACAAAACCAAACACTATGGGGAGGACCTGAAGCAGACACGACCAGCTCTCTGCTATTCAGAGTGGAGGTCGCAAGTTGGCCAGCTCAACAGACTGTGCTCCTTGGCTCAGATCTTTGACCAAGGCCTCCTGGGGGCCTGACCGAGCATTGGTTTCCCTTCCTGGGGCTGTCTGAAAGGCAGCTGGCCACTTCCACATAGTCTTACACACTGGCAGACAGCATCTGGAAGCTGGGCCAGGGTGCTTGGGGAACAGCCTCAGCTCGGACAGGAAAGCCCTGAGGAGGAACTGGGAAGCCAGCGCCCTCTATCCCTGGGTGTGCAAACTGTGGCTTCTCCCTCACTTCTGTACTACAGCTGACAGCTGTCAGTCTGCTGTGGGACAGGTATGGGGGCCACTCCCAAAGCAGGCTGTCTTGCCTCTGATCAGGGTACCTCTCTCCAGGTGGGCTAGGCCCCAGGTAAGGGAGAGACACGGACCAGCTCTGATGCCTACTGCTCCCCAATACCCCAAATAGAGGGCAAGACTCCTTGTGGAACCCGTAGATGGGGCCCATTATCTGTTCCTTCGACTTCCATGATCATGAGCCAGCCTGCCTCTATGCTTCTCCCCTTCACCTAACAGGTATAAGGAGAAAGTAGCTTTCACTTCTTCATTCCTTCCAAGCACCAGAAAGTACATGCCAAAATGGGGTGCTGAGCTGTAACCAGGGCAGTGTGGGGAAAGCCCGAGATGACTGGAAATCTGTGCCATGCCACAGAAAGAGGGAGGAAGAGTGGGCCTACTGTCACACCACTGTGGCATTCTGGGGCTGGTCCCCAGTTGAGACATAGATCCGAGGGTCCAGGCCAGGTCTCCAGGGGCTCCTCTCATAACCTCTAAAGAGGTCAATGGGCACCAAGACCTCACACATTTCCTCACTAGTCACTCCTACATATAGCAGCTTGATGGTGGGCAGGGTGAATCCAGCTGCTCAAGAGGTCCCTCTTCTGGAGAGTAACCCTACAGTGAGAGGCGCTAAGAAAAGCTTGGCCCCGCCTCCAAGATGGCAGGAAATGAAGGTTATGGATCACAAGGGGCTCATGGACTCTCAATGTTCTCCTCTGCTGCTCTCTGTGCTCTTGCCAGCAGGCATCTTGTGATGGATGGTACCTCCTGGGGTTGCTTCCCTGGGTCTCAGCTTATTCAGAGATTCTCCTGCATGGCACTGCCTCCTAGAGGTCCATTGGCTAAAATCATGACCACCTTTGCCAGAAGTACAATCTAGGTCTAATACGAGAAAGCTTAAAATACTGGAACTGGCCCAGAGCAATGAGGATGTCTAGAGTGGTGAAGGGGAGGGGAGGCTTGCAGGAGCTTGCTTTTCTGTTCTTAAGCAGACCTGACCCTAGTAGGAGTCAGCAAGGTGTCAGCAGCCATGCAGCCACTTCTTGAGGTGCACGCACAACTGAGTGCAAGTCTGTCAACAAAAGCTCCTCCTTTTGGAGCACTTGAACCCCTGGGGACCTATCCTTTGACAGCTCCCTTTTGACCTAGACATGGGCTTTTGAGAGGGCAGGGTGGGAAATTTGTGATACTTCCCACATTGAACAATTCAGCAGAGTCGGGCTGTACTGAAGAAACCTGGCCCTGGGGAAATAACACTGGCTGGAGTTTCAGCTTCCCAAACCAGGGTGAGGCCACACCCTGCAAACCCCAGAAAAGGATCTATAGGACCTTCCAGAGATAGGCCTTGATGCAATGGTTCTCCCAACTCAAGCATCCAAAAACAAACAAGTAAAACAACCCCAAGCCCCAACTCCAGCTCACTCTTCCTTGAAGCTGCCTAAGAGACAGAGACACAGAAACCAAAAGAGAGGACAAGAACGAGTTGAAGGGGCACTGGAGATTTGGATGGTATCTATTATCAACATGAATGTGGAGAATGATTCAAATCACAGTTTTCTCAAGTTACCACTTCCATTGATTGATTTCTTAATTCCTGTGCTCACTTCTGATTGGGATGTGGGTCAGGTCTCAGCTCTCACGGGCAGATTGCACAGGGTCCTGCCTGGCACTGTGTATATTTCTACCCTGTTTGCTGTGGACTCACCATCACCACAGTTCAATAGGCCCCTTGGTGGAATCTTGCCCTAAGGCTGGTAGTGCCCTCCACTCCTCCCCCAGGCAGCATCCTAGAGGGAGTGGCTGGGCAGCTCCCTGCTTTGAGTCATGGGACAGCAGTGGGAAGAATCTGGCCAGTTCTATTTTGCCCACTATGTGGGAAATCCCTTGGCTCTGGGCTTGCCGCTGGTATAGATAAAAGGCCTGAGTCCCCTTCCAGTGGGGGCTGTGCTGGAGACAAAGGGGGATCCCAGCAAGAGCATGGAGGTCCCTGGCAGTGGAGAAATGAAACACAACCTGATTTCACTACTGTGATACTGCAAGAATTAATGCTTGTTGTTCCCTGCCTCTTCAACCAGCTGTTGTTAAAGCACCAACAAGCAGAGCAAGGGAGCCAGACTACCATCTCCCCGCATAAGGCCACTCAGAGCAGGGAGACAGAGCCAAGGGGAGGAAGAAGGGAAGATCCAGGCCCACACCATGCCCCAGGCGCAAGGAGCTAACCTGGGGGGAGGAGCTGGGGAAGGAAGAGTGGTTGAAGAATAGGACAGAGGAGGAAAAAAGAAATACACCAACATCCTACTACCCTCTCCCATGATTTCATCAAGAACTGGATGTTCTCCAAGTCAAGTCAGGACTTGCTTCCTTGGGGAGGAGGAAAAAAAAAAAACAAGCACCTTCAGTCTATTTTCTTGGCTGGAAGCCGGAGAAAATCCAGCAGATATTTACACAAAGGCCCAGCCATGTATGAGAACAGGATGACCAGCTTCCCGTGGGTCATGGTCATGAAAGTCTGGTGTCCCGAGGCCCAGATGTGATACCAGGGGCCGTAGAATGGGTCTGAGATGGCCGGACACAGCATGTTGTTCAAATTCACTTTGGTGACCAGGCTGAGGATCTGTAGAATGCTGAAGTGACAAAAAAACATGAGGCCAGTTGAGAGAAGAGCCCACCGTAATCTGATGAGGGGCTGTGGGGTGTAAGTACCTCCTTTCCAAAGCTGGTAGATGGGCACCCACAATAGAGCATGACATGCTGAATGTAGTAAATCTCCAATTCAAAGGGAAGCAGCTGGGTATTTACCATAGGAAACAGCAACGCCAGAAGAGCCCCATTCAACATGTGCATCTGTAACTTGAAAACCACGATAGATCCCGGACTTGGAGGACAGGCCAGGAAGAAGATATGCATCATGGTGACCAGGTGACAGGAGTTGAACAGGTAGATGACGGTCTTGGTGGCGAACTTGAAGCCCAGCTCTTCCCCGAAGGTCAGGCACAGGGCTACTAAGAGCAGATTCTTGCTCAGGCTCTCCTTGCCTTCCTCTGGCTGCTGGGTCACCTGCTGTGGCTGGCTGCCCTGGCCACCCCTACCGTCCTCCATCTGCCTCAGGATGTGCCGCAGGGCCACCAGGATCTCCAACAGGGCCAGGGTCAGGAACACCACATTTTCCAGCAGCTGCTGCTGCCAAGAGAGGAAGGCGGCGTAGTCAGGGCCCCCGTTGCCTGCAAAACTGGAGTCCACGTCCCCATAGAGCCCACTTTGCTAACTATTCTGCTACACTATTTAAGTCAATGGGAAGCCATTGAAGGGTCTTAAATGAAGAAGAAAGATGATTACACTGAACTTTTAAAAATGTCATCTTGGCAACTATGTGAAGAATTACTTGGAGAGGTCAAGGCAAGCAGTAGAAAGACTGGGAAAGAATATACTGGAGAAATCCCTGTGAGAGATGGTGACTTGGGTCCAACTGAAAATGGAAAGAAGTGAATTAATTCAAGATGTGTTTTAGAGCTAGCATAAGTAGATACAGAAATATTTTCCTGTTTTTATTTATGTATAAGAAAGCAATGACTTTTATTTTTATTGCGGTAAATGCATATAACAAAATTTATCATCTTAATCATTCTTGAACATACAGTTCAGGGATATTAAGTATATTCATTAGCTGATCTATGACCATACACTCCATCTCCAAAATGTATTCATCAGCCCCATTTCCCCACACCCATAGCCCCTAGTAACCATATTTCTTCCTCTGTCTCCATGAAATGGACTACTCTAAATATTTCATACAAATATCATTAGACATACAGTATGTGTCTTTTTATTTCTCTTAGCATAATGTTCAGGTTGCAGCATATAGCAGAGTTTTTTTTTCTTTATTAACACAATGATATTCCCTTATATGGATAGAACACATTTTGTTGATCTATATAACCATCATTGAATATTGAATTGCTTCCACCTTTTGGTTATTGTAAATAATGCTTCTGTGAACATAGGTGTCAAAATGTCTGAGTCCCTAAATTATATTCTTTTGGATATGTATCTAATAGTAGAATTGTTGGATCACATAGATATCCCATGCTTTATTGTTTGCTTCTCTTGAAATAATCATACTGTTTTCCACCATTTTATATCACTGTCAGCAGAAAATCGGAGTTCTTATTTCTCCTTAACCTCAATAACACTTGTTTTGATTTTGTAATGATCTTGATGATGGTGACATGGTATCCCACAATAGTATTGCTATGGTTGGGATTTGGAATGTCTTTCCAAAACTTGTGTGTTGAAGACTAGGTCCCCACTGTATCATTGTCCAGAAGTAGAGTTTGGGGATTGGATCCCAAGGGTTCTGACCTCATCAGTGGATTAATTCATTGATAGCTGAATGAACTAGTGGGAGGTAGTGAAGAATGTAGGCAGGCAGGACAGAGTTGGAGGAATTGATCACTCAGGATGTGTCCTTGGGTTCTATATCTTGTCCCTGACCTCTTTATATTTCTTTATCTCTCTCCTTCTTTCCCCTTCTTTCTCCTTCTCTCTCCTTCCAAGCTGCCATAACTGACATCTTTCCTTCATCACACACTTCTAACACATTTCTGCCTTGGAACCAACTCATTATGAATTGAAACCATGAGCCAAAATAAATCTTTCCTCTTTTAAGTTGATCCTTTGTTCACAGTGATAAAAATTTAATACATAGATCACTGATTTTTATATTTATTTTATATCCTGTTACCATTCTGAATGTTGATATTTGTTGATTATCTTGGGTTTTCCTGATGTCTTATATGTAATCTACAAATACAAATTGGGTTACTATTTTTTTCTCTTTGGAGGACCCCTTTTAATAGTGCTATAATAACATACATATATATGCATGCATATAACATATATTATAATAATGCTTTTAATAGTGCTATAGAGTACTTACTATATGACCAGCAATATTCTAAGTACTACATGTAAATTAATTAGTGTAATTCTCACAAAAGTCCTAGGGGACAGGTGCAATGTTGTCCCCATTTCAGAGACTCTTAAAAACTCATCAAGGTTCAGGTCCCTTTTATGAATTCTAAGATTACTCTGGATTTTTTATGAAGAATGGATTATTGGTGGGTAAGAGTAGAAGCAGGGACACCAATTACAAAGCAGAAATAGAAAGTTCATGGTGGATATTGAGAGAAATGGTAGGAAATTAGGCTAGAGAGGTAGTCCGGGGTCAAATAAATTTTATAGGACCTTGAAGGCCATGATGCAGATGTGATTTGTACCCTGAGTTCAAGTAGAAGCCATTAGAAGGTTTTAAACAGGTAATGGGCACAATCTGATTAATCATTTTTAAAGATCAATTTGAAAGCTATGAAGAGAATCAGTGGAAAATGTGGAGGATAAAAGAGGGAAGAATAGTTAGAAAGCTAATGCAGTAGTTTAAGCAAGCTATGAAGGTAGAATGGTAATAGTGTTGTTGGAGAGATGGAAATATACATAAGAACTAATAAATCACAGAACCTATAGGACTTTATGATGGAATTCTGGAATAAGCCACAGGATGCCATTGACTAAAATAAGGAAAATGGGGGAAATTAGTGAAGCCAAATGTTTGTATCTGGATGGTCAGACAATAAGTTAAATTATAATTCTCATAATAACATAGTGATATATTATTCCTATTTTAGAAATGAGGCTCTGATGATTTTAGAAATGAATGAAGTCAGATAATCAGCCTTACCCATTTAGTGAGTAGTGGAAACGGATCCAAACTCAAGTCTGTTAGACTATATAGGCCATGCTCATGTAGTCTAAATTACCCAAAATAAATGGATATTTTCATAGTAGTCAGTCTTTAGTAGAAAGTAGAAGCAGTGATACGGTGAAAGGGGAGGTACTAGGGAAGGAAATTAACCAAATTATGTTATGTGCATGAATAAGTATGTAACAACGAATTCTACCATTGTGTATAGTTATAATGCAACAATAAAAGGTAAATAATAAAAGAAAAAGAAAAAAACTTTAGAATCTTTTTTTAGAGAAGTAATATGGTATGGTAGAGTGGAAGTAAAGAGGTCTCTTTGTTTGGCTTCTCCTAGCTGGAGGGATAATATAGATTTACCAGGAAATAATCTATGCTTAGGAAAGGGAAGCCACAGTAAAGAAGTAAGAATGTTCAGAAAAGATGTTTTGTTATAGAATCTAGGCATTTGGCAAAAAGTCTAAAAAGTTCACTCACAATCAAGGGCATTGTTTGGATTTGGTGTGCTGTAGGGGTGGTATACTACAGGCTTGGGTTTTGGTGAGTTACTTAATATGAATATCACATACAGAACACATTAGCTCATTACCTAGAAGAGGGCTTGCTTAGTAGAATTAAGGAGACACAGAGTCATCCAACTGGATATAGTTTGGGTTAAGTCTCTGGTTTGTGAAACAGAGAGGAAGGGACATATCTGAGTAGCCTAAATTTTAATAGATCCTTAACATTCTTATTTTCCCACATTTTATTGATGAATTATAGTTGCACATAATGGTAGGATTTTATTGTTCCCTACTTTTCTTTTCCTTTTTATTCTCTAGCTTCCACATAAGAGAGAAAACTCACAACCCTTGACCTTCTGAGTTTATTTGCCTTAATATAACGTTCTCAAGTTTCATCCATTTTCCTGTAAATGACATAATTTCATTTTTCTTTATCGCTGAATAAAACTCCAGTGTGTGTATGTACCATATTTTCTTTATCCATTCAACCATTGATGGACACTTAGGCTGGTTCCTTAGTTTGGCTATTGTTAGAGTCTGTAAACAAGTCAGGATGGCGCCTAGCAAATGTTAGAGTCTGTAAACAAGTCTGGATGGTGCCTGGCAAAATGCCAGAGGGAGTGGTTTGAGAAGTAACAAAAGTGAGCCATTAAGTGTGGAGATTCCTGATTGGTTGACTGATGTATCTAGTTTATGCTAATTAGATAAGCTGTGTGGAATGTATAAATACTGCTCCTGTCCTGCAATAAATGGCTTCCACTCCTGCTGTATCAATCTACACAAGTTCTTCGTCACCCCCCGGTTATTTTGCTGCAGCAGGACTGCGGCAGGCTATTATGAATTGTGCTGCTATAAACAAGGGCATGCACGTGTCAAAGTAGTATGATGATTTTAATTTTTTAAGATAAATACCGAGGAGTAGTATAGCTGAGTCATATGGTGGTTTCATCCTTATTCTTTTGAGGAACCTCTGTACTAATTTCCATACTGGTTATATTAATTTACAATTCCACCAACAGTGAGAAAGTGTTCTTTATTCTTCACATTTCTCCAGCACTTAAAATTGTTTGTATTCTTGATAATTGCTATTCTGACTGGTGTGAGAAGAAATATTGTTGGATTTTTTAAAAAAATATTTTTAGTTGTAGATGGACACAACACATTTATTTTGTTTATTTAGTTTTTCTTATGTGGTGCTGGGTAATGAACCCCTTGCCTCACATGTGCTAGGCAAGCACTCTACCACTGTGCCACAACCCCAGCCCTTGGTGGAGTTTTGATCTGCATTTCCCTAATTGCTAATGTGTTGAACATTTTTTCATATATTTGTTGGATGTTATTACTTCTTCTTTTGAGAAATGTTTGTTTAATTTATTTCCTCATTTATTAATTGAGTTATTTGGCTTTTTGATGTTAAGTTTTATAGTTTTTATTCTAGATATTAATCCTCTGCCAGTAGAGTGGCTAGCAAAGATTTTCTCCTATTCTGTAGGTTCTCTCTTCACATTCTGAATTATTTCCTTTACATGCTGAAGATTTTTAACTTGATGCCATCCTATTTATTAACGCTTGGCATTATTTCTTAAACTTTAGAGGGTCCTATTCAGAAAGTAATTGCCTATATCTATGTTTTGGAGGGTTAACCCAATGTTTTCTTATTGGAGTTGCATAATTTCTGGCCTAACTCCTAGGTCTTTGATCCACTTTGAGTTGATTTTTGTGCAGGGTGAGAGATAAAGGTTTAGTCTCATTCTACATATGGATAAACAGCTATCCCAGCACCATCTGTTAAAAAGACTGTCTTTTCTCTAATGTAAGTTTTAGGTACCTTTGTCAAGAATCAGATGACTGTATCTGTGTGTAGATTCTTGACATTCTTGAGAATTATGTCTTGAGATATTTGCAGATTCCCAAATTGATGAATTCCACTACAGCATATAATGTCTCCATAAAATATGGTGAAATACGACTGTAAATTTTTATAAAACCATTTGGGTCTTTAATAATCTAATAACTACTGGTCTAAAGTAGCAATAAAGCTCTTAAAATAAATTATAAGTCACCACACTCTTACAGTTTCACTTATATTGCCATTGCGTGCAAACTGGCATTTTTATACTCATTGTGACATTTCTTTTTGTTTGTTTTTTCATCTTTTAATTTTTTTTTTCATTTGTTCTTTTTAGAGATACATAACAGTAGAATGTATTTTGACATACATACATGGAGTATAACTTATTCTAATTAGGATTTCATTCTTGTGGTTATACATGATATGGAGTTTCACTATTAGTGTGTTCATATATGAACATAGGAAAGTATGTCAGATTTATTCTACTGCCTTTTTTATACCCATCCCCTCTCCTTTCCCTTCATTTCCTTTTGTCTAATCCAGTGAACTTCTGTTCTTCCTTCCCCTCCCTTTTTGTATCCATGTATCAAAGAGAATATTCAGCCCTTCATTTGGCAGGGGGTGGATTAGCTTATTTCACTTAGCATGATAGTCTCCAGTTCCATCCATTTACCACATATGCCATAATATCATTCTTATTTATGTCTGAGCAATATTCCATTGTGTATACATACCACATTTTTTATCCATTCATCTGTTGAAGGACATCTAGTTTGGTTCCATAGCTTGGCTATTTTGAATTGAGCTGCCATAAATATTGATGTGGCTGCCTTATTATAGTAGGCTGATTTTAAGTCCTTTGGGTATAAACCGAGGAGTGGGATAATTGGGTCAAATGGTGATTCCCTTCCAAGTTTTCTAGAGGATCTTCATTCTATTTTCCATAGTGGTTTCACTGACATTGTACATATTTTGTACAATGTTTCTATAAGAAAATTAATTCTTCCTCTCCCACTCCAATTCCTAAAACTCATTAGATCACCCATTTTTAGTAGAGAACAACAAAGCCATGTTAAGATGCAGGCACTTAAATAAAATTATGTGTGTTTAAGGTGGTCCATTTGGTTCACTTACAAGCTAAGTAACTCACCTTCATACATCAGTCACAGAGAGTACGTGGTACAATTTTAATGCTTCTGAACACTGAGAAATGACAACATGTCCTGAACCTTTGGCAATACTTGGGAATAACTTCAACTGAATTCCAAACATGTGGATGTTTAGTAAAGTTTGGTAATACACTAACCCTGTGTCATCTAGTTAAGTCTACTGGTCCAATCGCTACATACTGAATAATCATAATTAATCATTTGGGTCTGTTCTGCTTTTAAGGACCAAATACTTTGTAAAATGGGGTTGTGTATAACCATGAAAGTGTTCTACATTTTATATAGATTTGCTCTATTGTATCCATAAAAATCCTATGTCAGTAATTTGGCCACCCACTCAACATCTGGCAACTTCTGGAGACATTATTGCATTCCATAAATTGGGGAATTGTGATACTAGCATCAAATAGGTAGAAGGCAGGGATGTTGTCAAATACCCTAGAATGCATATGACAGCCCCCTACAACAAAGAATTATAGAACCTCAAATGTCAATACTGTTAAGGTTGAGAAACTCTGCCCTTCTTAAAGAATTAACTAATTAGGGAGAGGCCACTTTTAATTTTCCCCACTGTGATTAATTTTATATGTCAACTAGACTAGGTCACAAAATGTTCAGATAGCTGGTTAAACATTATTATTGGGTGTATCTGTGAGGATGTTTCTGGATAATATTAACAGTTGAATTGGTGAAGAAAGTAATACAGATGACCCTCTTCAGTGTGGAGGGAATCATGTTGTCTGCTTAGGGCCTTAATAAAACAAACAGGCAAATGAAGAATTGACTTTGACTGCTTGAGTTGGGGCATTGATCTTCTCCTTCTCTCTATGCTCCTTATTCTCAGACTGTCAGACCTTAACTGGGATTTACCTTTTTGGCTCTTTGGTTTTCAGGACTTTGAACTACACAACCAGCTTTTTTGGGTATCCAATTTGTAGATAGCATACTGGGACAGTTTAGCCACTGTAATCACACATGTCAATACCTTACAATAAATCATTTCATATATATGTATGTAGGAGTGTGTACGTGTGTGCAAGGATCTCATATTGGTTTTGTTTCTTCAGAGAACCCTAAGTACACGCAGCAAAAGCTATGCTTTGTCTTCAGATTTTGGTTAATTGCTCCTGATTTTCTGTCCTATGTTTAAGAAAATCTATAGTCCCTAGAGTAAAGGATGAAACATCTTTCTATCCATAACGGCATATATATATATATATATATATATATGCATTTACTGGATTATTTCTTAGTTATAATGGATAATAAAATGAACATATAATTTCCCCTTATAGGATCATAGCATTTTCATTTTAGTGAAGCACACAGACAAGCAGGCAGATGGTTACCATTCTAAATGGTAGGTGCTATGATGTCAAAAGTCTTGGTTTTCTGGGAGGATACTATGTACCTCTTAAGACTAGTTATTTGGGGAAAACTCACCTTACAAGTGTCATTTACCGTTTTGTTGAGCATATGACTGAGACAACTGATTATCTGCTCACCTATTTCTTGATTCAGCTGTTTCTTATAGGTAAGGTGGATGGGGTAATGGAAGAAGATGGTGCAGAGTGAAGTGTGGGGCATCTTTCTAGAGGAAGTGACATCTAAGCAGAAATTTCAGGTAAGAAATTTACTATGTGTAAATGGAGAAGGAAGGTATTCCAGGTTAAAAGGAAAGTATATGTGAGAGCCTGGAACATTAGTTACCCTTAGAGAAATGAATTGGTGGACTGTGAATTGTGAGCTACTTTGAATTCAGGTTAGTGGATAAGAAGAACAAAGATTAGAGGGTGAGACTCATCAGGATCACCTCTCTAATTCTGAAATCACCTTCCTTTTTTTTTTGTTCTTCTTGCGTATGTTGTATAAATAATAATCACTCATTGTTAAATTTTTTTGAAGTATGTGAAATGAAATCTCCCTTGATCGCCATTAATTTACTTTTCCAAAGATAGTCAGTGTTAATAGTGTGTATCATGACAGCCTTACATTTACATCCTTTTTAATGACTTTACATTCACATATTGTATGTAGTCCTGTGGGTTTTCAATAATAAATTGTATCATGTCATAGATATAGTTATTAATATTGATGTAGATACAGATCTCATCCCTTTCATTTTGCAAAATTTTTTGGATACTCTTTACATAAAGATATATGGATCTACCTTGGTTTTTTAATGTTTTCTTAGTTTTCCATTGTATGAATATGGTATAATTTATTGGGTCTTTTACTTCACCACAGTTACCCCAATTATAGATGCCTCTTCTGCAAAGGTGACTGGGCAGTGGACTGCACATTGAGAAGTTAGTGGGCTGTAGGATGATGAGGGGAATAATGAGAACAGTTTAGCTGAGGCTTACATACAGATCATCTGCATCTGAAACCTTTCCTAAATCATCACCCACTTCCCAAAGCATCTTGCCTTCCCATTTCTACAAAAATTATTCAGGCTGCAAGTTTTTGTCTGTTTTGTCCCTCAAAAATTTCTTTGATGTTCACCTTAATGTGATTTCATTTGGACTAATGTATCTAAAAGAGAGAAAGGTAGAGAAGCACCCAATGTGATTTTCCCCAGAATCTGCCCATTCCACTTTTACATCTATGCTTTCAGAGGGAACACAATCAGTTGCTTTTAGGTGTAATTTAAATGATAATTAGGGGCTGGGGTAGTGGCTCAGTGGTAGAGTGCTTGCCCACCACATGCAAGGCCCTGGGTTCCATCTTCAGAACCACATAAAAATAAATAAAATAAAGGCATTGTGTCCAACTGCAACTAAAAATAATTTTTGAAAAAATGATAATTAGACTTTTAGAAATATAACTAATGTAGAAAAAGGAACTTGAGAAATTCATAAAACCAAGTAAAATGCAGTTAACAGGAAGCAGAAAGTGGAGGCACCTGACTGTGCAAGCTGACAGTAAAATAACATATGTTTGAAGGGCTTCAGGCTCAGAAAGATTCATTCGAATTGTTAACTATGTTTTTTTTTTTATCCCTGCCTTCTCCAATTTTATTGATATATGTTTATAGGATCAAGAATTTAGGCAGTCTGAATTACTGTTTAAAAAAGTACCTGAATATTTTTACTTTACAATTTTTGCAAGAAGGGAATCATCTTCATGCCTCCAGAAGATCATGAAGCACAGTGGAAGTCAGTTTTTGTTCTTTTTCAACCAGAAATGGTATGGACTAAAGTATATGTTATCATTTGAAAGGTAGATGGTTCAAGATGGTAGATAGAGGTGATGGACAAGAGATAAGAACACAAGGAGCTTGTCTAGGGTAATTGCTGAGAGAGTTCAGGAAAAGGAAAAGGGGAAGCCTAACTAGAACAGAAAATGAGGCAGAAACCAAGAGAGGGCTTAATAAAGCCAGTCAGGAATAGGAATAAAGAAACATAAGGATGATTTAAATAGACCAGATCCAGTTGACCAGGTTGAGTGTTAAGGGAACATGATTGACAAGAAAGTGCCAGTGTTGAAAAGTTACAATGCTGAAAGGAGTTGTACCAAAATTGCCTAATCTTAGGTAGGAAGAAAGCTGAAGATCCTACCAGTAATGAAGTGGGAAGAACTTTTATTTTAGTGGGGCAGATTAAGGGACACTGGGTACAGTGTAGCAATAGGTTATCAATTCTCAGGCATAAAGCACTTTGGTCCACATTCTTTCCAGTCTACTCAGTATTTATCCATCCTTATGTAGAATTTTCAGTCTAGGGCAATTTGTACAGAAATTAAGATGGCTCAACTGATGATTTTTCAACTTTACAGTAGTATGAAAGCAATATATTCAGTAGAAATCATACTTAAAATTTTGAATTTTAATCTTTCCCACACTGGTGATATGCAGTATGACCCTCTCTTGTGATGCTGGCATCAGCAGTGAGCCACAGCCCCCAGTCTGCCTTATGATCATGAGGGGAAGCAACCAATACTTCATAGTGTACCGTTTTGCTAAACTGTGATTGATGTTCTATAAGTTAGGTTATTAAAAGCATTTTTGCTTATAATATTTTCAACTTTTAATGAGTTTATCAGGATGTAACTACATTATAAGTGGAGGAGCATCAGTCGTTCATGTTCTCCAGAAGCATTCATTGCTTCAAAGGGGAGGAATAGTTGTTGACATGGCAAGAAAAGAGAAAATTCAACTTGTCATGGATATAAAGTATGGTTCCTGAGTTCTGGTTCCTGCTGTGGTTCCTGAGTATGTATTGTGCTTATAACAAGAATGTGAGACTTAACAATGGCTCAGAAGTCAATGAAAAGGTCTTCTAGTTCCTGAAGAGATAGATTAATATGAGCATGCAGATACCCATTCTTTTCAAGCATCTCTTGTGTATAGGCTCCTCACTGGAAGGCCATATGTTTGCTTATTATTCATAATTGAATTCATTCTACTAAACTACTTCATTCCATTATACTTTCTGGAGAGTCCAGACTTTACTTAGGACAGTGGTTTCTAACTTTTATTTTTTTATTGTGATTATTTTTTATTCTTTACAAAGTGTGAACAGTGTGTTTGGGAATGCAGAAAAGATTGAAAAACAGTTCATCTTCATCCAGAAGAATTGAGCTATAAGTGCAACAGAACAAAGAACACACATCAAGTCCCAAAACCATAAGAAAAAAATGCCTTGGACTAATGTAGCTGTTTCCTTTTGTGAATTACAAAGCCTATTCTACAATTAAAGTCCCTTTAAACCATAAGCTCCTCAAAGGCAGGAATAGGAAGAGAAGAGTTTTGTACTCTAGCCAGTACAGAGTCATTTGTACATAGGCGCTTATTAATTAATTACTGTCTGATGTAAGTGTCACAGCCAGTAGGAGATTCTAGAGGACAGTAATGCATTTCTATGCATAGTTCATTGCTCTCTAACCACAAAATTATACTGATATTTTAAATTGGTGGGATTTGAATGGAATAGTTAAAAATCAGTACATTATTAAAGAAGTTACTAAGCTTTTGAAAATCAAAGTATAATAAATTATTGTACTTTATTAAGAAACAAATTTTCCTACTGAGTTGCTCCATGAATTTAATATGGGTATGTTCAGTAGTCTTATTAAATAATTTTATCATGAAATAGTTCATGCAAAGAGAGGGATAGGAATTGATATGTTAACAACACAGTATTCAGTGCAATATTCAGGTTTTTAAATTACTAATATTTTCCATCATTGGCTTTAAAAAATAAAACAATATAGATACAACTAAATTTGCCTCTATGTTCTCTGATATAAATCCTTCCCTCGCCTCAGGGATCCTTGCTTTCTGGAATTGTTTGTTGTTCTCATGTTTTGATGTTTGCATGTTTGTGGAAGTACGTGCGCATGTGCACACACACACACTTGTTTCTAAAAGATATGTGCAATATTTTATGCATTTTATAATTTGTATAAATTATTTCATAGTTACATATCCTGCAACTAGCTTTTTTCATTCAATGTTGCTTTTGAGATTGTCAGTATAGATATGTGTAATTTTGCTTCATTCAATCATTCAATGACTTAGATATGCACTGAAAATCTACTATATTCCAGGCAACATTTGAGGAGAGAAGGACATCCAGCCAACTGAACAGACCAAGTGGCTGTACCATGTAGCTTACTTCTTGGGGAATTGATTTCAGTGGATGCACTCTTTTTTCTATGTATGCTTCCAAGTTGTATAGTTCAATGAATAATCTTAAATATTAGTACCTGTGTACTTGTCTGTGAGGAGAAATACAAAGGGTGAAATACTGGATTTATAGTTCAGGCATATCTTTAATTTTATTACATAAATTCATATTGTTAAGTAAAGTGATTGAGCTGAATTTACACATCTAACATGGCTGCAAGTCAGCACCCAATGACGTTCACATTCTCAATATACTGGTCCTGTCAAACTTCTTAGCATTTGCCTGCAGATGGGTGTGTGATGGTACTTTCCTTCTATTTTACATGTGATTACATGTGATGTTGACCATTCCGCATGTAATTATGGCTTCTAGGATTTCTCTTTCATGGATTATGCAATCAAATATATTGTCTGTTTTTATATTGGGTTAGTTGTCTTTTCCTTTTTGTTGTTTATAAGTGTTTATAAGTGTTTATGCACTCCACTGGGATTACAGGCCTGTGCTACTACCCCCAGGAACTCTAGAAATTAATTTATTCTGGGCCATAAGGGTTCCACTAGTCTTACATACTTTTTTTTTTCTTTTCTTTTTTTTTAATTTTTTATTGTTGATTGTTCAAAACATTACATAGTTCTTTTTTTTTAATTTTTTATTGTTGGTTGTTCAAAACATTACAAATTTCTTGACATATCATATTCCACACTTTGATTCAAGTGGGTTATGAACTCCCACCTTCACCCCATACACAGATTGCAGAATCACATCAGTTACACATCCATTGATTTACATATTGCCATACTAGTGTCTGTTGTGCTCCGCTGCCTTTCCCATCCTCCACCCTCCCCCCTCCCCACCGCTCCCCTCCCCTCCCCTCCTCTCTCTCTACCCCCTCCACTGTATAACCCTGAGGGTCTCCTTCCATTTCCATGCAACTTCCCTTCTCTCTCCCTTTCCCTC